AAGAAAGAAAGAGAGCTTGAGAAAATTTGGCCGCCATTCAGGAAAGGGCTAGGCAGAAAACGGCAAATAGAAAGGCACGAACGTTCCGCATAGGCACGAAGGTCAAGTGGAAGGATCACCAGAATCCTGGAAGGAGTGGATCGCGGAAGCTAGGCAGCCGATGGCAAGGGCCGTCTGTAGTCACCAACCGCCGGGGGAACGTCCATACNGAACGTCTATACCATTCAAGATGGTCGGGGATCGAAAGTAGTGAATGGGACACAGCTTCGCAAGCGGCATGATACACCCGAAGAGCGGCCGAGTAGACCCACTGCCGAAGCCGACCTGACGGAGGTAAATGAAAATCGATGGCATGCGAACGAGCTTTAAGGGGTGGAGGTGTGTAACGGCGATACTACCGATCGGGAGGCACGCGATTAGTATGTGTTGTTCGTAGAATTTCGCTTTGTGTCGATTGAAAAGTGGAATTCTGTTGCGGAATTCGCGGGGCCACTTTGTAACATTTGCTTTTATTTGACCGACGAATGATTGGAGGCAATGAATCTCCAGGAAGACTCGTTCGGGAGAAGATCTGTGTCCAGGTTTTGTAACTAAGATGCAGATTAGAGTTTTGCTTCCTTGTTCAATGGTCTGTAACCGGTCAGTTGGCATTTGCCGAATAGATAACTCCGCAGCGAAGGTTTTCTTCCTTTCACTGGTATTCAAATAGCTGCTGAGCTTGTCGATTTGGAATGTGCCGACAACATCGTCCTCGTCTTCGAAGAGGAGAAAAAAGTACTGGTATGTAGAAATGAATCGACCAAATCCATCCCCTAGTTTGTCATGGGCTTTGCATCCACACTGTTAGGACATGGTCACGAACATGATATCACTGAACGCGCCACAAAGAGAGGCGCTTGTAATTGTGGAGCGTTGTGTTAGTTCCGATCGTAGTGTGACATGAAGTCACTACAGGGATCTCTAGGGCTTGGGTGACGATCGTTCCGCTGTGCAGCGGAGACTCCAATCGAAGAGTGCTTACAGCAATGAAAGCTGCGTTGGTTTGCTCATGTAATTCGCACACCAGTGATCGTTGGCTAAGAGATACTGTTTTCTGTTCCCGGTTTAGGGTAGCGTAAGCAGATCTGGATGGGGGGTGCAAAGGCGATTATGAAAACCCTGGATACTGTCGGTGCTACACATCTTCCAGGATGGAATCTGCCTGATCCTCCTGTAAATGGTTGGAGACGGTGCAGCATATGGCGGTTATTCGGTGTCATTTGCATTATTCTCGTCAGCTTCTATCCAGATTGTCTGGATAAGGATGTGGACGCTTCTGGATGACTGTGGCAGACTAGCATCAACTCTTTCTCACCCACTTTTTTCTTCGACTAAATTACGATTGTATGGGAGCGAACACTGATGTGCTTTCGATGATGATGGAACTATAAAACAGGATTGCTACTGCTGTCAGGTAGGCCGACGGATTTTCCTTTTTTTAGAACCCCACAAGGAACCATTTGCATGGGACACTAGATTACCTCCTCAACAGGAGTTTGGGATAATCTCTCGAGGTGAAAGGGGAGCATCTGTATTTGGCTGAGGCAATATTCGGTCTCTTCAGTGGTCTTGGCGACTGAGTGTAGGAAGTTTCAAATTCAACCGCAATGTAGGTTCGGGAATTCATGTGGAATTAAGATGTATTTGGGTACCAGCAAGATGTGGCCGTGTATTTTCCCTCAGTAGCTATCATCTAGCTCGAAAGCGCATTTTTTTGGAATCACCAGCTATACCCCGGTGTGAGCCAAAGACAAAAATAGGCGTGTAAGTGAAAATTTATTCTGACAATAAGAGTGTAACTGTTGGTGGCTCAGTGAATAATGAATCATCGTGTGTTGTGACTCGCTTGAGTAATTTGAATGTATGTTGTCACGTGTTCACTGATGCTTCTTTATCAAATTACTGTTAAAGCCAGATCGGATCATGTCCATGAGAGCTGGTGATGTAACAGAATAAGACAGTTGACTTATAGATCTAAGAGGATGGCAGGGGACATTGTCACTGATTTTTCTTAGGGGATGGATTCTTCAATGAATATCTGTACAATGCATACCTCTGAAACAAGTAGCCTGATATCATCTCGTCGGTGATTCAGTGCCACATAGGGAGAATACCAAGTACTTTACTCAACCAATTGTTGGCCTAGACAGATGCCAGCTCAGCAAGTCTTGCGTTGAAATTGATGCCAATTTCTGCCATCGACGAATAATCCTTAAAAAGGCATTTGAGCACTTTCCGCTTCGCCGGTACACGTCTACTGCTCAGCATTACAAGATTTGCGTTTCTGTTCACAATTTTGTTTAGCAGCCCTTTTTGTTGACGTAGCAACTTCAACGAGGCTTTCGGTGCGTGGTATCTAGAAATTGAGTGCGATGTTAAAAACTTCGGAAGTTCTCATTCTGCTAACTCTGGTCCATTTAGGGAAGCTACCTCTATATTTCCTTTAAGTTTATCCCGGACAAATCCGCTGTGGAACGAATGCATTACGTTATCTAACTGTTGTGTTGAAAATCACTGTAAGCATGATGAGCAACCAATAGATCACATTTAGATAAGTTCGTTTTTCAACCTTATATGGGATGATGTGATATGAGGTTCGAGATATCTTGCTCCTAAGCTCTACAGCAGCATATGACCCGCTGTAGTGAGGTTATTTTTTTTATCACAACTGTATCCGCCATTTGGACCATAACCTGGGTTCTCCACAATATGAAATAATAATCGCTGCCTACCTGGCAAAACAACGGAAGGAGGCGCGAGGACTGAACTAATGCCAGGTTGCTCAAGCCTAGCCAGGAACAGTTGAGATGCTGAGGTTGGGTTCGAACCACTGACCTTCCGGTCCGTGAGATGTCGCCTTGACCGCTGAGCTTTCAGAGCAAGGGAAGGTTGTTTAGAGTGCAAGATTCCTGATGATTAGGATTGTCGGATAAATAAACCAGAACTGGTGTGGCACAATTATACTCTATTCATCACCTAGATGGAACTCAATTTCATATGTTCTTTTGATTGAGTCAAACTCCTAGCGATATCTTGAGGTATTTTCCGCTGCATTGTGCCACGGGTCTAGACAGTCTACTGTTTCTTCCCAACCCCCCTATTCATGGTATCGTAAATTTGTGCTCCTAGTCGGAGTAAATTTCGCTGTTTAGCATGAAATTTCTACGTTTGAATGTCACTAGTCGGGTTGTGATAGCTCTCAAGCTGTCATACAGCGTGCTGGGAATGAAGCATTTGGCAAATTGGCAGATCTGGATAACTTTATTGTCCTTCCAGAGTGAACACATCTTGAAAACCCTATCACGCTAGTCACTTGAGCCTTGTCTCCTGATCCAATCCACACTGATTTCGCTCTGTCTAGACGCGTATTGATTCTGTCCAGTGACCACCGCCTTCTACAGCTTGCGTAAACTCATTCTTGTGACGTAACTACCAAGTGAACGTGAACGAAATTATGCCTATGGCCTGGAGATTTAGATTAGCATTCATACACACGCACTCTCAGTTTGGATGGATGTTGTGTTCCAGGGTTGTGCAGGAGGGACTTTCCATTAACCAGATGAGATCATGTTAAGAGATTAGCGTCGGCCGGTACGAGAATAACACAACTGATCCACACGCGCGACTGTGAGAGAATAATCGTTAATGGAAAGTACTTAATTACTTATATTCCCCAGAACGAATTAAGGATGCGCGGTGCACTTATATACTTGCTCGTTGACCGAAGTACTGTTCGAACTCGCAACCCGTAAAACCATTCGCGTTTTCATCGGGAAAGCTGTTAACGTCTGTCCGATTTGCTGTATACCAATACACATTTCTGCAATTGCTCAAATGCTTGGACCAAATAATTCAATTCGACTCACATCCGATCAACATGGAGTACATTTGGATTTGCCCACTCGTTCCTGAGTCATTCGTTTACTGGAGCGCTCTCCATCACTACAACGTAAAAAAGCAATTAGTAGCGTTCCTAAGACGCGAATACTGTGACTGCGTTCTTAAAAGACCCAAGTTATTCACAACTTGTTGAGCACGATCGTCCGCCGATCGGTTCACGGTCGCATATTTAATGGAATATATTCGCCTACTCAGATAGTTCTTACAAATATATAATGAAAAACTGAAAATATAGCATCGCCGGGACTAAATCCCAAACGGGCAAATTTTACCTTACGGTGTCTTCAGCACTAAAACCATTAGTTCACTGTTCCTGTTTTATATGAGTGCTTTTGACGGTGTCCACCTTGCTGCATTATTGCAACATCTCGCTGTTGCATGCAAACGACAATGTTTGATAGGGCATGTGCATGACAGTTTTGACAACCGAACCTGGTCCTCATAACTCTCTGTTCAGACAAGCGCTTTGCGAGGAGTTGATCCCTTCTCCTTTTTGTTTTGTCAATCTATGAGCTACTTATTACCAACTCTTTCTACTGGTGTAAGTAGGTGGCATGAGTTCGAATGAGACGTTTCTATCTTTTATTCATATTCTCCCTGTTACNATATAGCATCGCCGGGACTAAATCCCAAACGGGCAAATTTTACCTTACGGTGTCTTCAGCACTAAAACCATTAGTTCACTGTTCCTGTTTTATATGAGTGCTTTTGACGGTGTCCACCTTGCTGCATTATTGCAACATCTCGCTGTTGCATGCAAACGACAATGTTTGATAGGGCATGTGCATGACAGTTTTGACAACCGAACCTGGTCCTCATAACTCTCTGTTCAGACAAGCGCTTTGCGAGGAGTTGATCCCTTCTCCTTTTTGTTTTGTCAATCTATGAGCTACTTATTACCAACTCTTTCTACTGGTGTAAGTAGGTGGCATGAGTTCGAATGAGACGTTTCTATCTTTTATCTCATATTCTCCTGTTACCCTTTCTCATTCGTCGCTTGTATTCAATTTTTATGTTCATGACCATTTTCTTCAAAAGTAAATGACAATAGTGATATTGTGATTAGTCGTGACAACCACAGGTCAGAAAGTTACGCGGCATTACAAACTGAATTGAATGAGAGTACTAAGTGCTCCAAGAATGCTCATGGCTTCAAAATGCAAAAATTTTGTCTTCTCGCTTTTCAGGTGAGCCTAGTCGTAGCTTTGTCATCCCCTAGGGCTGACAACATTTGTCTTCCAAGACCTGCTGATACGAAATGCTTCTGTATCAGTCCAGATTAGAAACTCATATTCAAACTGTTTTTCCCCACCAAAGTCTGGTAACTTTATCTTTGTACTGTGAGACACAGCGCTATCCACTCCTTTCAGTCTTACCCACTAAGGTCTTACCATATAATTTCCTTCTCACGTAATTTGCTCTTCTTCTGTCAGAGTTCCTGGTCAATTGGAGAAATATTGCCGCCTCACCGCCTTGAAAGTGAATTACGTCTCTAGATACACTGCAAGTTCCGAGTGTCCTTGTCAGTCTTGTGGTCAGCCCGTAATAACTTTATCGGATGGTCAGTGCACTCAAACTACGAATGTTTGCTTATGAGAACTCTCACGAACTATAATTCTGTGATTCCCTGTATGATCCGGTGTCATGGTAATTCCAACTCATTGCCTGATACGCACTTATCACACCTTCGTTAAGGCACTTCTTTTCTATCATAATTATGCTACTTCACTGTTTATGTGCCCGCTTTTATAGATCCGCTACGAATTTATATGCTAAAGATTCTTCACTCGGTGCGCATAAAGCCATACTTCACTTAGCTTGCTTCGACCTGAATTGAC